TAAACAATATCTCAAATATAGACTCTACTCTTAACATCCTAGTTGTGTCAATAATAACTTAACTTTTTTTGTCTGAAATTTCATACAACTGGTAACCTTTTGCTTGTCCAAAAGAGATTGTCCCCTTAAAATGTTGATGAGATTTGATGTAAGGCATTTTGAGATGCGGAGTCATTCAAGTGCCCCATAAATGCAAAGATCAATATTGTCATATACTGTATATACGACAGACAAATGAGGAGACATTGTCTGATTCTCTATGTTAGTCTATTTTTGTCTGCTCCAGGTAAAAACTATCTATTTTCCATAAACTATGTTTGATCATGATGACACTATGTAACACGATTTTTGTTCCTGGGTAGTGTTATATTCTAATTGCTTATGCCTCAAAAGTATAGAAAATGGCTATTATTCCCCACAAACGTTTATTTTGTGACCAGGACTTTACATGAATGGATGACATAAATGCACACCACGTTTTCTCATTGAAAATAGGTACATTTCAGAATATCACTGTCCTGGTCACAAAAGCAAAGTTTGTGGGGAATAATAGCCATTTTCTGTACTTTTGAGGCATAAGCAATTGGAAAATAACACTTACTGCCCAGGAACAAAAACAAATTTTGTTACACAGTGGAACATCAGAGAAGCACTGATTCCACTTGTCAGTTTTTTTCTATCTGAGTTTGTATGGAATTTCCTTTAGTGTACTGTTTCATTCAGGAATGTAGACTCTGGCACAGGCCAACTCTCGATATCACATCTTCAAAAATTAGTTGTTTTTTTTTTAACAAAGGGATAGTTTGTGCTGTCACAGGTGACTGAATGTGACCAGGAAAATTGCTAAAATTGACAATCTCGTTAAACCTCACAGACGTCACTGTACGCTGTTGGCAGAGTAACGGGATCAACAAAGAAGATAAGGAATTGACGTGGATTGTTAAAAAGTGTATTCTGCTTCAAAATTGGTTTTCAAGAGATATCAGGCCAATCCGCAGCATTTTTCATGAAGCTACAACGTCTCATTGTATTCTTCTTGCCACGCATCGAAAGCAGGGTTTTGCACTATTTCCACTATTTAAACACATTACCTTTCCAGGAACCCCAAACGTTTTAGTGCAATGTGAGGGTCCCTTTGACATCTACCCTTAGACTCGTTTCTTACCCACAGTCTGGGAAACCGTCATCGAATATACACTACGGTGTACGCAAAGTGCAATCGCAAGTTAGTGACCCCACTGTTTCTAAAACGGAACACTTTTGTGCCTCACATTAATTAAAACAGGTGACGCGCCACAAAAGCCACCCGCGGGCCTCCTCCGAGTGAGTGTCTCGGCTTTGCCGATGTTTAATTTATGAGATTGGGGGGGGGGGGGGGAGTAGTTATCGCACGGACCCGATATCATCGGCCACCGGCTCATGTGTCGCCAAAGAAAGGAGATGCTATGCTTGGACACAGCCTGACAAAACACGTCGAGGGACCGGCGTGGCTTTTAGCGAGATGAGTGCCGCGCACGCGCCCAGCCGTCCCCGTCTCCGTCTGCCGTGCAGTGGCGACGCCGCGCGCCCTCGGCGTACGAAGAGCGTGGTGTTTGTGTCGGGGCTGGGGGGGCGGGAGGAAGGGCGGTCAGCTGCGCGACGTAAGATCGCGTCCGTCGTCTCAAGTTGGCCCAACTGAGAAAGGGCGGAGACTCTCGTTTCCTTTAACTCAGGGTTTCATGTGAGAAGCAGCACAACGCCCCGCCCAACCTGCAGCCACTGTATCTCTCTTCTGGATCGCGACGAGATAGGGGCTGCTGTGGGTTGGTGGATAGTCATCAGCTGAAGAATACGCATTATCGTTAACATTGTCATCATCTTCATGACCACTATCCTCCTCATCATTTATAAGTATCATCACCATAATAATTGCCATTATTGCTGCCATCAACATCATTAGACGTGGCTCTCAAGGGCCTGGGTCACATCGCTGCAGACGTAGCAAGATCTGGAATCGCTGCAACCCTCAAAAACGCTAGGATGCCAGCTAGCAACCTCAGCAAAGATGAGCGTTTTGAATTATATAAATTAAAAAAGAGGGATGACATTTTAATCCTCTCAGCCGACAAGGGCAATGCTACTGTCATCATGGATAAAATAGAATATAACAACAAATTTAAATAATTACTCGACGATGGCAGCTATACAAAAATAAAAAGAGATCCCACCAACAGCCTCGTCACACAAACCAACAAAATAATTTCTCATTCAACCGCATTAATTGATCAAACTAAACAGTTTTCGTTGAAACCTTCTGCTGCCAGGCCACCAAGGTAATACGGCTTACCAAAAATACGTAAAGTAGATACACTCCTTCGTCCCATCGTCTCTACTATCAACTCCCCCACCTACAAACTGGCTCGTTTTCTGTCTGAAATCCTGCGGCCTTTCACTGGAAAAACAACCTCTGCGGTACAAAATTCTACTCACCTGGTATCGACAATCAAGGGTATTTCCCTGTCCCCAGACGACCTGCTTGTCAGTTTTGATGTAGTTTCCTTAGTCATCAAAGTTCCTGTACCTGACACTATCGCAATCATTGAAGACTTGGTTCATCAAGGACTAAACACTGAGGTACACCACCTGGTGAGACATTGCTTAACCAATACATACTTCACTTGGAATGGAACTTTCTACAAACAAACTGAGGGCACCCCAATGGGCTCCCCCCTATCTCCGGTTATAGCCAACATTTTCATGGAGAAATTTGAGACTGACGCCATCCAGACTGCCACTCTGCGCCCAACCTTATGGAAGAGGTACGTGGATGACACTTTTGTCATCTGGCCACATGGCCGGCCTACTCTAGACCAATTCTTCGACCACATCAATTCCATACACCCAGCCATCAGATTTACCATGGAAGTCGAAAAAGATGGCAAGCTACCTTTTTTGGATGTCCTAATAAAAAAGAGACCTGATGGTTCAATGAGCCACTCTGTCTACAGGAAAGCTACCCATACGGATGCTTATCTGAAACCGGATTCCCACCACCATCCATCACAGAAGAATTCTCTCATCAAGACTCTGCACCATAGAGTCCAATGCATATCCGACCAGGAACACATAGACAGTGAACTCAAGCACGTACACCAAGCTCTTAAGGCTAATGGTTACTCCGACTATACAATCCGCAAAGGTATCACTCAAACCATGAAGAAGGACCCTCTTGAGGAGCCTTTCAAAACCATCACTTTACCCTACATTGCGGGGATCACAAAAAAGATCTCCAAAATCTTGAATAAACACAAGATCCAGGTCCGTTTCAACACATTACATAAAATCCGTGATCTGGTTCCGTCTGTAAAAGATGTGATTCTGGACATACAGTACCCTGGTGTCTACAAACTAAGTTGCCTCTGTGGTACTAGTTACATTGGAGAAACCAAACTACATGTCTCGGACCGCATCCGTGAACACAAAGCAGACCTAAAACACGGTAGGACCAACACCTTGGCCGTGGCAGATCACTGTTATAATTCAGTAGGCTCACATGACATTGACTTCTCCAAGACAGAGGTTATTTGCAAGCCATCTGGCTACCATGAGAGATTCGTTCATGAGGCTATCCACATATACAAACACAGAGACAATTTCAACCGAGAAGATGGATTCTGGCTGAGCAATCATTGGAAGGATTTGATAAACCATTTCGGGTCTTAATTGATTGTTCACGCTTATGGTGGCTTTCAGACAGCATACATTAATTTTTCATCTCCCCCCTCCTCTTTTCCGAACATAGATGGACTCGTCCATCTAAACAAACTGTCAAATCGCTATCCGTGGTGCTAACGTTTAAAAATAAATAAATACAAACCGCCACTTCTTTCAAATGTTCTTGCCATTGGTTTTCACACCTGATGATGACTGCTTGTGTTGCAGTCGAAACGTCGTGAGAATTTTATTGTTTTATTTATATTTTATTGTTTCCCTTCAACGTGACTTTACCGAAAGAACCAAGAATATGAATATCATTATAATTGTCATAATTCTAATCACTGTCATCGTTATCATCGTTATCATAATTATAAGGACTATAGTGCAGCAATGTAGCAGCTTGTGGTGAGATCAATTAGAAAAGGCACCCTTAACTAGAGAAAGCAATGCAATATAATCTCGAGCAGGTGTGGTGGGACACACCTGTAGTACGGAACTTTGAAGGTGGGGTTGGTGGCTCTTAGTAGAGATTGTCCCAGTGCCTGAGATATCCATCTGGCAGGGCTGAGGTGACCAGTTAATGATAAGCAGTATGTCGACCTGCCTGTATCGATCTTTAAGTTTTACCTTCTAGTTTGCATGGATGCATATCCAGTTGCACACTATAATTATCAGGATCCTCGTGACAGTCTTGAGATTGAATGATGCTGTCTTTGGTATTTTTTTTTACAGTTATTAAATGTGTGGTGTTCAAATGTCACGGTATGTTTAGTCTCCATATGTTCTACAATTATAACAAAATAAAACAACCTGAGGGTTAGTCCATGACATATGGACACGTGCGTACCCAAATACAACAGGTTATGAAAAGTTAAAAATGGTCGGAATCCCTTACACTTATAGTGGAATACAGTTTTTTTATACATGTATGTTACAGCTTTATTGCTAATTACTATACATCTCTAACGTACTTTCAAAATCAGGGTTAACTTAGTAATCCCTTGTCCATAACAACCGTGCGTATCACTTAAAAAAAATAGTTTTTGAAGTCTATTTCGGATTGAAAACGGATCATGAATAAAAGGTGGCCCAAAACTTAGTTTACCAAGGTAAAGTGTAACTTATCATTTCATGTATATCTTGGTAAACTAATTTATTTGGGCCCTAACCCTGCATTGTTACTCTGAAACCCTGCTTTTATGGGATTCAGCCTGATGCACACTTTGTAGTCAGTTTTCTCAGTGGTAGGCATATTATGAGCTTACCCAGCCATGGACAGATCGGCCAAAGGGCTTTTGGGTTACCTTGTTGTCGAGGAGATTTCTCACAACTGTGGGACGGTTCCCGCTCGACGACTTGTGCACCACGCCTGGCGCCAACAGCCCGTCATCAAACTCAAACCACACGGGCGCCCCCTGTGGGTGGCACACAGAACAGCATCACTGCGGGGTTAATACAAGGATGCCAAACTCAACTGTAGACGTCAATCCATTCAGCAGAGAGATTACGACGTCGATTAGTTTTACAAAAATGTACATAAACAGAAGGTAATCTCGCAGTACGGCACTTTAGACAATGCTGCAAGTTTCCTAAATCTCCCGGCTTCCGCCAAGTGTGCTGGGGTAAAGTGAAGGTAGTCCCACCTCTTCCAAGACGTCTGGCCAGCGTAGAAGATTTGGGTGAAATACCACATTGGGGAAATTCTGTAGAGCTCCCTCTGGTCAAGGCCTTTCTGCCAGCAGTGGTAAGAGAAAGTCATTTCAAGGCTGCACCTTTATCTTTGTGAAAACTATAACTATGTTACGATAAGTTATTGGATAAAAAGGCCAAAAATAAAAGTTTTTATTTCACAGGTATTATTTTACTTTGTATTACTTTATTATTGGCCCTAAGTTCCAAACATATTTTAATGTAATACAGCATTTGGGAACCCATAAGACAACATTCTATTCTTGGAAATTTGCGAATGTTATAGAATATTTATGCTGTTCCTTCCATCTCCGGAGAAAGGGACAATTTATATCCCACTGGGACATCTTAGCGTGCATAATTTGGAAGAGTGCCCGTTCCCCCGCATTAATGCATTTGTTTGCAATGTATCTCGAATGACACTGCAATAGTAGTAACATTACAGTCTAGACACTATGCAGAATGTATCCTGGTAAACTCATGCACAGCATATTCTTGGTTCTTTCGGTAAAGTCACGTAGAAGGGAATTTTATTGTTTTATATTTTTATTATTTTATTGTTTCCCTTCTACGTGACTTTACCGAAAGAACCAAGAATATTAATCCCTGCAGTCACGAAAGCTTTAAATAAAAATTTAATGCACAGCAGTCATATTGAGGCACACGTTTCATCACCAAATTACTGCTGGAGCCTGAATCTTGTGCATCTCAAATATTATTGGAAGCAAGCACACTTAAGCTCTCCGATGTGTTTTCGGCTAGTACAGTGTGAAGTTTGGCATGATGTCTGACATTTCTCCCCACGTGCTGGAACCTTCTTACTGAACTGAACAAACTGAAGCTCCCAGCATGTGTTGTGGGTTGTACCGCATGTTCAGTTCCTGAAGAAGCTCCGAGAATGTTGAATGAAACATCAGACATCATGCCAAACAAACACGGCACATCCCAAAATAAACATCAGAAAGCTATAGAGCACAACCGCGAAAACCTACGTACAATTGTGGCAGACTTACGGTCTCCTCGCGTTCATGCGATAATGATGTTTATGTACAAAATGCTTTGGTAGATTTAATTTGCTCATGATTATTTCTTAATGGGTTGATTGTTCGTGTGTGTGCAGCTCTATGCAAAGTTACTGCAGATATGTTGCCAAATCTTTTCGTTACCAAATATTTAGTGATCTTTCTGCTCTATGGTGAGACATGGAAAGGGCACCGAGTTGGTGTGCTTATGCTCCAGGCATACAGTATTCCAGAAAGCAAACAGCTCTATTTGTAGACCATAAATCTCCCTCCACCAGGTATAGCCAAGAATGGTAATGTTATCATTATTATATTCCAGTGTATACAATTACATAAGCAATTGTAAATCGGATGACACACGGTTACACTGCTGAATACGCATGCAACCTTGGGGGCAAGAGGCACTTCTAGATAACTCTGCCATGGCCACAGTGCGCTATTGAAATTATGCATCGCTTTTCAAACAAAATCATGATCAGTCTTAATCAAGCCACTGATCAACGAAGGCTTCCCCAAGTCATTGCCATCTGTCATAGAGGCCCATCGTTAAGCGATTAGTCGTTAACAGGGATGATCATTAAGAGGCATTCTCTACTGTAAATGGAACGGAATGGAAGCATAACATGTTGATCCCTACCCTAAACCATATCACAGCATATTATGTTTACACTTTTAACAGACGGTATTTGCCTTTGTGCTAAAACATGCTCCGACTGCTTGTTACAGGAACCTTAACCTAAACAGCTGGGACATTGTCAGAGTCTCAGTTTGACTTTAAACTCCACATCACGTAGCAGTGGGAAAGCTGTAAGGCTGTGTGGTTGTAGGTGTCCTGAAGACCTGTTGCCTACCATCACATTGTGCCCACTGTTACTGACAATACACCCTATGCAGGCAGCACGTTTGACATCAATACATGCAACATATCTGCACAGGACATGGTGTATTGAAAAATATGTGTACTCGGGCAATTTGATCTCCAGCAATATTTGCTTTGCTTTCAATGTAAATAGTTGTTCGCAAGAATTACTCTCATGGTCACATTACAGTCGGTGTGGAAACCACATTTTTTTCAAAGGAAAATAACACTTGGCATTGTCAATTCCCAAAATAAGCTTTTACATTGAATGAGTCCAGTGAGACGGCTGAGATCAAGAGACAATTCTGTGTGATACGAGGTGGCTCCGACAAAGCCAATAGAAGGTACAAACAACAATAGTATTATGCCTGAGTAAACCCTTGCACGTTTTCAGTAAGCCAGGTTAGACAGCCAAGCATATCAGGAACAACCAATCTGTTTGCACATGGACAGCTTTTGACCACATATCAAGCATGATCCACAACCCACTCGTGTACCACGATAGTCATAATAGGAGCTCAGTAGTCATAATAGGAACTAAATGCTTGCACCACACGCTCCCTCCAGAATGCTTGCTGAGATATTTTTTCCTCTTATTGGTGGTGCTGTGCATCCACCTATCCGCAGCCTCAATCACGTCAAGTGTGGGAGCATAGGTGCAACACCACAAAGCAGTACTCACCCTCCAGCGCCAACCCCTAGGGTCCCTCTTGGGAAGAAAAAAAAAACCCAAGCGATCCCACGTCCTAGGGGCTCCTCCAGGCAAAGCCCCCAAGCAAGCTCCCTCCTTGAGGTCCCTTCTGGCAAAAACTCTCAAGTGAACCCCATTCCTAGGGGTCCCTCATGCAAAGCCCCCAAGCAAGCCCCCTTTCCCAGGGGTCCTTCCTGGCAAAGCCTCTGTAAGAGCGCGCTTTCAATCTGCAAGTCTCAACAGGAGTGGTCGATTAACCCCTCGGCCTCCTCCTCCACCCACGAGGTTCTCTAGCTCAGAGAAACTGGTGGACAGTCGGCCAAGGGGAAGCGTGGATCCAAATGCCCAAAGTGTCGCATTTGGCATTATCATATGATACAGGTAACAAAACCCACCTTGGTTTCGTCCAGCAGCCAATGATTAGAAACAAAGCCTTCGCATTGGTATCTAAAGATACCTGCGAACAACTGCGTCCAGTCGTGTCCCCAATGATCCCCTGAGCACAAGTAGCTTTAACACACACAGAGCTTCGCCCTTTTACTAAGATAACAGCAATGCTCACCACTGTGATTAAGTTAATCCAATACCCCATAGACCAATCCCAGTTTTCTTGAAACTATGATTCTGAACTCTGGATAAAGCTATTCAGGTAAGTGAACGTTTCCGAGACCTCGACATTTTCGCCATACTATCTCTGGACGTTCACAAAAACAATATCCAATTCATAACATGGAAGAGACATGTGCGTGCACACACACACATGCACATGGACCACATATGCAAAGTCAAACAAAGACAAGCAATCTCCCATATCGTCATACAGATTGTTGGGGCAAGTGTTTTTAGCGAGCACCTATTAAAGCTGGCCCCCAGCACACGTAAGGTGGACCGGGCCACACCCCTATCTCTTCCTCTTTTCATCACCTATTTCAAATCTGCTCATTTGCATATCTATTTATAGACAGGCCACCTGTGCAGGAAATGCAGTGTCGGATTGTACTGTGTACAACTGGCTTTAGCTCACCACCATTCATGGACCTCCCTTCAAGGATGCATGATTGTGGGGAAATGTCAGACTATTGATGGCTACGCTCTCTGTAGTGTAGCCGAGATTCCTCACTTGGTAAATGAAAGAAGATGTTGTACCACAACTTGTTGTCATTAATCTTTAAGTAGTAGTTTAGCCGAAAGAGAGCACCTTTCCGCACCGTACGTAGGGAACCGTGCTAATCGGAGATGCGAGGAAGGAATTTCAAACCAAACACAACATTAGTCGAATGTTTTCGTATGGCCAAGGAATAACAGGAGAAATATTTATGAATTTGTATTTTCACGAGTTGGGAACCTGTTGCTATGCAACGGAAAATAAGACAGCTGTCATCTTCATGCTCATATCACAATATTCCTGTACTTATCATATTTAATTCGTGGTTTTACTTTAAAAGGTAAAGGTGCAACCTACAGTTACTTGCTTATATCACTGTTAGAGGAAGCGCCTTCACTCGAGGGACTTCTATAGAGTCACTCTAGAGTAGGAGTGGGGAACCTTTTTCTGCCAAGGGCCATTTGGATATTTATAACATCATTCGCGGGCCATACAAAATTATCAACTTAAAAATTAGCCTGTTATATTTGGTCAAACATTTAATTAACTCACCCCTAATGTGATGGCTGGAATTGCTTCTCTTTGGTGAGACGTGTGATGTTAGCTGGTATTGATGATGTTAGCTGGTATTGATGATGTTAGCTGGTATTGATGTTAGCTGGTATTGACGATGTTGCTGCTACTCGCAACTGCTTTTCCAGGTTTGCTCCTAGATTTATTGAATTTCGAGTCCCGCCTGCGGTTGCCTTGGCAGGGCCAGAGACCAAATTATTTCGCGGGCCTCATAGGCCCGCAGGCCGGACGACTCCCACCCCTGCTCTAGAGGGTGTTTTGGCCTCCTGTTCTACACTGGCCAGATGTCTTGAATAAGGTGGGAGTACCCACACTATAACCTACCCCACCAAATGTGACCTGGCAATCGGACAACTGTGGTTGTACCCAAGTAAATCATATGTTGAAAATCCTCTGGCAATTTTCAAGAGCGTACCTTTACCCAAAACACCTTTTTAGAAATTGCCTATTCTTAAGTTGAAAAATATTAATAACTG